AATTATCTGTTTCTACTGATCTTTTAAGAATCTATTTTGTCTCTGGTTTGATTCAACTAAAATTGATTAATATTTAAGTCAAAATCAACAATTAATTTTAATTACATATTTTAATGATTTCACAACTTTTCAATCATACATTTTATTATTTTTTATTAAAATTTATTAAGAGCCCATTTGAGCCATATTATAATGAGAATGAGAATGAGAAATAGAGCCGTTATGGGCCCCACATCAGAGATAGAAATTTAAAAATGATGGCTTGATGTGATGGATAACGATAATATTTTTCATTTTAATGAAGTAAAAATGGGCTCAAACAAGGGCTAAATACATTTTTCCAGAGGAGCAGAAAAAATTATAGATTTGAAGGAATGTTAAAAATATGAATGGCTAATGATAGTGTTAGATTGTCAACTGAAGAAAGGATTGCCCTCTTTAAGCGCTCTCCTCTCTGAACTGAAGGTGACCTGGCGACTTGTAATGGAGCGAAGCGCAGCCTCAGAAAATTAAGTTACGAAAATTAAGTCAATTTTTTGAAAATAATTACATAGACATACAGCATTCATATATGTATATGTATAGATATATATATATATATATAGAGAGAGAGAGAGAGAGAGAGTTGGGGGTGCGGGAGAGAGGGGGACGGGGAGAGGGACTGGCAAGTGAGAGCTGTAATGTTGCAGCAGGCCTAGTATCAGAACCTTGGCAGATGGTCTTTTAACTTTTTCTCTACAAAAATAATTCTCCGTCCCTCTCCCTCTTTACACATACATACATTATACATACATAAAGGCTGCATCTTTCTCACTCTATAGATACGTATACATGCACATCGATATCTTTTTGTTTCTCTCTCTCTCTCTATGGGTTTTTTGAGAGGGGAAACTGAGTACCCACTGTATAATAGAGAGAGTTGTTTCTATTCTCTCACACACACCTTGCAGCAGCTCCCTGGCTAAACGATGTGATTGAACATTGCTCTTCACAGTTTTCCATAATTCTCACTGGAATAATTATATCCTTCTTCTCCAATCTCTTTTATCAATTCTGTAAATCCAAGACTCAATGCTCTCATAGTTAAACTCTTTTAACAGTTTCAGCCCAAAACCGTATTCTAGAGAAGGCCTTTACATCAACTTGTCTTTTTTGTCGGACTGGGAAAAACCTGGTTTCTAGATGGTTGTGAGTGTAGTGTAAGCCAAATTTAAGTTGGGATTATGGCTAATTATTTGAAAATAATCGCTATTCTGGGATTCCTAGTATTGTTCTTGAGCTTTGCTTCCGGGGATTCAAATGACGGTTAGTGTGTTTTTTATTTTTTGGGGTTTCTGATCTCTCTCTATTTGTCATCATTCTTGGGTCTTTATAGTTTAATATTTTAGTAATTATATATTAACATTTCGCTTTTTGAGGAAGTTTCTCTTTCATTTTTCTTTATTAAAATCACTTGGGACATTATTATACTAGATAATCACGTCATTGTCTTTTCTAAATCTTGATTTTTTTATTGTCTTATTGACACTCAACCAATTCGTGTTGAAATCGTCTTCTCCTTCTAGCTCTATTTGAGCTCATAGAACTAGTCAGATTTTCATGATTATTTTTATTTATCTTGATGAAAGGGGCAACTTTGCTGGACATGAAGAAGTCATTCAGAGATGTGGAAAATGTTTTATATGACTGGACAGACTCTCCATCTGCAGACTATTGTGTATGGAGAGGGGTAACCTGCGATAATGTCACCTTCAATGTGGTTGCACTGTAAGACACTTCCTTTATTCTATTAACCTGCAGCTGCTACAGTAATTTTTATCTTTTGTAAATGGTGGGTTGTGTTTAAATTTCCATAGTAATCTCTCGGGTTTGAATCTTGATGGTGAAATCTCAACTGCAATTGGACAGCTCAAGGGCCTTCTCTCAATGTAAATTTACTACCATATATGAATCTTTCTGTTTGTCTTATTCCTAAGTGTTCAACTATTATGGGTTCTGAGTGAGGATGAAATTGCTGTGTACGTTTTATAATAGTGACTTGAGGGGAAATAGGCTCTCAGGCCAGATACCTGATGAAGTTGGTGATTGCTCATCTTTAAGAAGCTTGTAAGTTAATGTTTTTTGGTTCACTGATATGGATTTTGTTTAGGCCTAATTATAGTGACCGTTAGTTACTTTGAAGATGATTTTAATTCTGCTGTTACCAGGGATTTATCTTTCAATCTTCTGCATGGAGACATTCCCTTCTCCTTTTCAAAGCTGAAGCAGCTGGAGAGCTTGTGAGTTTTTGCTTCCTAGTGCCTGTTCTTTTCTTCACTTGCCCATTTTCTGTTGCAATAGGTTTCTCTGTTCAAGCTGGTAGGACTAATTCAGCATAGTTGCTTTCACTAGGATTTTGAAAAATAACCAGTTAATCGGTCCGATTCCTTCAACACTGTCTCAGATTCCAAACTTGAAAATACTGTAAGTTCTGTTACAATCTTTTCATCCCCATCTCTAGTTTGTGATTATGAGGTCATAAAATTGTGAATTTATTCAAATCATTGTTATAGGGACCTGGCTCAGAATAAATTGAGTGGGGAAATACCTAGACTTATTTATTGGAATGAAGTTCTTCAGTATCTGTGAGTATGATAATCTATGAATATTGGTCTGAGTTCATCCTTTAGTAGATATCATTCTTGTAAAGCACATAAACATTTTTCCTCCGAACGCAGGGGGTTGCGAGGAAATAACTTAGTCGGCACTCTTTCCCCTGACATGTGTCAACTGACGGGGTTGTGGTACTTGTAAGTTTCGATTAATATGCTCTTATCACAGTTGCCTTAAATTACACTTTTTTAAGTGACGATTGTCATTTATTACATACAGCGATGTTAGGAACAATAGCTTGACGGGTTCAATTCCTGATAGTATTGGCAACTGCACTGGCTTCCAGGTTTTGTATGTATCTCGCCTTCGCTAAGCATGTGTTGAACTCTATGAGCAGTTTTTTGTATACTATTGGAAAAGATGAGATCGGATTTAGACATTCTTTTTCTTTCTTTATGTTGTACAATGCTGCATAAATCCACATTGCCAAACAAAGTCAATAGTGCTCGACATGGTTTAGTGAAATTCTTTCCTTTCAATGTCAGGGATTTGTCATACAACAACTTTACAGGGGAGATTCCATTCAACATTGGGTTTCTCCAAGTCGCTACCTTGTAAGTCTCTGCTAGCTTTCTTCTTTGGAGAGCGTTGTTTTGCACTCTGTATGATAAATTCATTAACCTCTACATATTGTTGCATTAGATCATTGCAAGGTAACCGGTTTTCAGGGCAAATTCCATCTGTAATTGGATTGATGCAGGCACTTGCGGTTCTGTAAGTGCTCTCTAGTTCCCATTGTATCACCTTACGAGTTAAATTAATGTTTTTGACAATCTGCTTGTCATTTAATTAATTCTCTATGTTTATGAAGCTGTCACTGAACTCTTACTTTACAGGGATCTTAGCTGCAACATGTTGAGTGGACCAATCCCTTCAATTCTCGGAAATTTAACTTACACTGAGAAATTGTTAGTATTGTAACTTCCTTTTGAACTCTCATTATTTTACTCGGTGAAGCTCAAATTTGGATTAACAGTCATGAAAGTTTCTTGTATATGATCATGTTGGATGGAATACTGGATAGTTCATCTGGAGTGCAATAACCAGAACTTCTGCTTCTTGCTTTTCTTTCATAATATTGGTTCTAATTCTGAATAAATATAAATAATATATTTTGTTACCTACTGAATACATAATTACCATTACATTGAATTGCTTTTGAACCATAAAAATGTAAAGTTATACTGACATAATTAGTAATATCCATTATTTTTACTAAATGTCTTTTCTTTGTCTTACTAATAGAAACATATTAATTTGTAGGTATCTACACGGCAACAAGCTAACTGGCTCCATTCCTCCAGAGCTAGGCAACATGACAAAGCTCCACTATTTGTATGTTACTTTTAGTCTTCTTTTCAATACATTTATGCACTTTGATGCTCGGACTCTTCGAAATGGTTGTAGTACCCATGTCCGTCGACATGGGTATGGGATACATGTCGGATACTCCAAGTTTCAACTGGACATTTTGCCTTTTTAAACTTCTTTGTCTTTTCCCTTTCTTTCTCGCTTCTACTCTATAAACCTAGCATTGCTTCTGAGAGGGTAGAGAAATGCGACGGTGTTAGGCTTTCTCTTCTTCTTCCTTTTTTTCTTTCCCTTTTCTTCCCTTTAGTTCAGGGTTCTGCGTGTATTAAATGAAAATGGGTTTCATATAATGCTACACTAAGTTCAAATTGTAATCAAGTCCCTTATTTTCTATTTTATATAACATTTAAAATAATGAATTTCCTATAATTGAAAACTAAACCTCAAAATAATGAATTTCCTATAATTGAAAACTAAACCTCAAAATTGTATTTTATTTGTTTTAACCTTTTATTCATTACTCATTTCCTTCTTTGCGAGCAATTGATTTTGATCTATTCAAAATGACATCTTGGGTTAACAAAAAAAATTGAAGCTTGAAAAACGTATCCACTTACCCAAGTCCGAAATTTGGATTTTTTTTAACCATGTCTCCGTATCCTAAATTTTAGAAAATAAAAAATTCGACACTTAGATATGTACCCGATACCCATACCCGAGTCCAAGCATCATAGTAATTTTGCATAAACCTGCACAGTTATGTCCTGAATGGACACTCATGTGAGACATCTGTAGGCTGTGATAGCGAGCACTTGGCTTCTGCTTCTGAAGCAATATATGGGCTTTTAGTTTTTACGGATCAATAATTATGATATACAATTTTTGTACTGAAGTGTTTTTTTGTTTAACAGGGAACTAAACGATAACCTTCTTACTGGGAATATTCCACCAGAACTTGGGAAGCTCACAGATTTATTTGACTTGTATGTCATGTTTCTTATGACTGTTTTCATTATATTATATCACGCTATATAGATCAGAAAATTTAAGTTAATCCTGTTGCTTTGTCACAGAAATGTTGCCAACAACCACTTAGATGGGCCTATACCAGATAATCTTAGCTCTTGTACTAATTTGAATAGCCTGTAAGCATCTGATGTAGTTTAGTATTTCTTTTCTTTCTTTAATTTTAGTCTTTCTAGATTATTTACTGAATGGTTTGATGACAGTAATGTACGTGGTAACAAATTGAATGGAACTATTCCCCTGGCATTTCAAAAGCTGGAAAGCATGACTTATTTGTGAGTTTCTCACTGATGTTTGTTCTGAAAATTTTCGTTTGCCTGTATTCTTCAGTTCGTATCTGGAGATGGATGTGCTATGAGTATGAATTCCGTGTTTCTTTATGTTGTATAGGAATCTATCCTCCAATGAGATTAAGGGCCCCATTCCAATTGAGCTATCACGAATTGGAAATTTGGACACTTTGTGAGTGCCTGGTTGCCAACTATCTATGAACTTGTCCCATGTCTAATTTCTCTTTAAACGAATGCTTAATTTTAATTATGATTAAGTGATAATTTTTTTCTCCTCTCTGGGTGGAATAGAGATCTCTCAAACAATAGAATCAGTGGTTATATGCCTTCCTCACTTGGTGACTTGGAACATCTCCTGAAACTGTGAGTTCGTCATGACCGGATTTTAGTTCATTCTATATATTTTCATCTAACTGTCTCTTAACAGGAATTTGAGCAAGAATGATTTGACTGGAATCATACCAGCTGAGTTTAGTAATCTAAGAAGTGTTATGGAGATGTAAGAAGCATACTACATAACTAGGAAATTTTAACTAGTTTCTTTGATCAATCTTTTGATTCTGTGAATCACATTTTTTAATTGTAGCGATCTTTCAAACAACCGGCTCTCGGGCCCAATTCCTCAGGAACTTGGTCAGCTTCAGAATCTTTTCTTGCTGTAAGTTGTCGGCCTCCAAATGATTTTGACAGTTATATGTCAAACAAAATATCCCTTTATTGTCCTCAGTTTTTAATGAGTGATTCATTCAACTAATAAGTTATTTTAATCTTTCTTGAGAAACAACAGTTATCTGGAGAACAATACTTTATCTGGTGATGTAATGTCCCTTGCCAATTGTATCAGTCTCATGATTCTGTAAGTTCACCAATACCAGCAAGTATTTTACGACTTTTGATGCAAGAAAGCATTATTTATTTTCTTGCATGTAACTGTATCTTTGCAGGAACGTATCGTATAACAACCTTGATGGGAATATTCCGACGGGCAATAACTTTTCAAGATTTTTACCTGACAGGTGACAGATTTCATTTTTCAACCACCTTTTTGACTTTAAAATTTCTAATGAGCAACGAGGTTTCTTTACTTGTTTTAATTATTTGGCATACCGTTCTTGGTTCATTTTAATTAACCTTTTTATTTTCAGCTTCTTGGGTAATCATGGTCTCTGTGGATACTGGCTTAGCTCTTCTTGCCATGCATCTCGCCCAACTGAGCGAGGTGAGACCATTGTATCTGAATCGGAATTAACATTAGCACCATAACCTGAGTGTCTGAGAACTGTTCTAATCTTTTACATTCATATTTTGTTCATTTGCGTTTGTAGTTGCAATTTCAAAAGCAGCTATACTGGGAATTGCATTGGGTGCCTTGGTAATTCTTCTCATGATCTTAGTAGCTGCTTGCCGACCACACAATACAAAACCTTTTATGGATGGACCACTCGACAAACCAGGTGGATTAACTTCTCTTGCCAATACTTTTCATGTCTAATCAGTAGTAGTAGTTAATTTTCATTGTATTGCCTATTCGAGTGGGTAGAATATGTTAACTGACGACTTTTTCAACTGTCAGTTAATTACTCGTCCCCAAAGCTTGTTATCCTTCACATGAATATGGCCCTTCATGTATATGAAGACATTATGAGAATGACAGAGAACTTGAGTGAAAAGTACATAGTTGGTTATGGGGCGTCAAGCACTGTGTACAAATGTGTTCTTAAAAACTGCAAGCCTGTGGCTATTAAGAAACTTTACTCTCAGTTCCCACATTGCCTAAAGGAATTTGAGACAGAGCTCAAGACAGTTGGGAGCATCAAGCATCGGAACCTTGTTGGTCTCCAAGGATATTCCCTTTCTCCATATGGAAATCTTCTTTTTTATGATTACATGGAAAATGGAAGCCTATGGGATCTCCTTCATGGTCGGTAATCCATTTTCTGTTGTTTTTGCATAGTATTTTTTGCACTTCTGTTGAATTAGTTGTTGAAATGCTTTGAATTTCAGGGCCTACAAAGAAGAAAAAGCTTGATTGGGATACACGTCTCCATATAGCACTTGGTGCTGCACAAGGGCTTGCTTATCTTCATCATGATTGTAGCCCTCGCATAATCCACCGGGATGTGAAGTCATCCAACATTTTACTAGACAAGGATTACGAGGCCCACCTAACAGATTTTGGCATTGCCAAAAGCTTATGTGCATCCAAATCCCATACTTCCACTTACATATTGGGAACCATTGGTTATATCGATCCTGAGTATGCCCGTACCTCCCGTCTAACAGAGAAGTCTGATGTCTACAGCTATGGAATTGTCCTACTCGAGTTGCTTACTGGAAGAAAAGCTGTGGATAACGAATCCAATCTTCATCATCTGGTCAGTTATTTTTATTTTCATCCCAAGTTTTTTAATAGACTTGAATATCCATTGTGATATATATTGTTCATCTTTTTATGGGGATTTCATTTTTAATCCCTTGAATGCTTTCTTATTCATTGCAGATATTAACCAAGGCGTTGAACAATGCAGTCATGGACACAGTAGACCCAGAGATCTCTGAAACATGTAAAGATCTCGGAGAAGTCAAGAAGGTTTTTCAGCTAGCACTTTTATGCACTAAGAAACAACCATCAGAGAGGCCAACCATGCATGAAGTGGCTCGAGTTCTTGGGACCATGATGCCACTATCCAATCCGAAAATGCTGACCCCATCAGCACCTGGTGCCCTCCCATCCACCAAAGGTCCATGCTACATGGATGAGTATGCAAATCTCAAAACTCCTCACTTGGTTCATTGTTCATCCATGAGCACCTCGGATGCCCAACTTTTCCTCAAGTTCGGGGAAGTTATATCCCAGAACACCAGTTGATCTTATCTTCAGGCAGGAAAAAAAAAAAAGAAAAAAAGAAAGGGAACTCTTGCTCTGCTGAAAGAATCTAGGGCAAAACATGAAATATTGTATACGGATGTATTGCCAATTAATTATGCTCTGAAAAAATGGACTGGCTCATTGCCGCCATCAAGAAGAAATAGTATTGACATTTTGAGTACTGTATCAAGTATGGTCGAGGACCACTGTCATTGAATCTAGGCTGGAACTGCCTGTATGATGCTTAGCCATCCATATATGCTAGCACATAGATTTTCCCTTGTGGTTTATTTTTCTTCCTTTTCGTGCAACAACCAGAAATTTATTGTTTGGCGTCAGTAACAGCAAAAGATAGGGACTGCTGCAGCGTAGCAATTACCGCAATAAATGGCCATAAATTGCAGCCCCGCAAGGGAAGGATTCTTCTGTTAAAATAAATTTTGAGGTCTGATTTGTTTGTTAATTCAAACTTTTGTCTTCTACCAGTTTGGTTGTTGGCACAATGTTGAATAGTGGCCGACGTTGCTCAATCTGGGTCGGACGTTGCTGCTGTGACCAAGGCTTCCTAATGGCGGCCTTTCTTTTGCTTTGCTATCCAAGTGGCATTGAGACTTCTCGAAAGTTTCTATTCTTTGTTCTTAGGAATCGGGCATTGGGATCATTTAAGATTGGTTGCTTTTAGTAATAGTCGCATTTTCGTAAAAGCTGTGGCACCTATTGAGTTATCTTTATCACCATGGCTGGAGGAGTGTATTGTGGAAAACTAACTTGAAACAAGATTAAAGCTATATGTACATAGCCATATTTCACAGAAAACATACAGATTATTCACATGTGGGAGGACCCACTTTATTGTTGAGAAAAATGTAGGGAAATCTGTAAACTTAATGAACTGATTGAGAAAAATGTAGGAAAATTTGAAAAATATCTAACACTTATTAAAATATTACCCCAAAAATACTCACCACACCCTTGCTTGTGTGTGTTTGTAAAGGCCCTGCGTGTAGTGCCATTCTTGAAACAAAAATACATTACTCCATCCAAAATTGGAGAAATAGATTGAAGCAAGTTATTCAACTTGAATTCAAGACAATGTGAAATTAAATCTATCCTTACGACGTAATAAGAACAATAAATGCATTAGATGCTTCTACACGTAGTATATTTGGTCATCTACAAAGGCTAGACAGCAGCATGTATATAGGTCAGAGTTTTATTTGATCCCGTGAAATAGAAATAGAAATAAAAATAAAACTGTTATCATGATTGAGAGAAGTAGATTATAACATTCCTAATCTGTAAAATAATATTCTTGATAAATATTAGAATCCATTATGACACTATGTGATATGAATAGTGGACTACAATGGTCAATCAAGTGAAGGTAATTGCTCAATTGCTGCCATTCTAGCTCAACTACCTGCTCTAGCTTGACTACCGTTATGCTAACCTAACTACCAATGCCTAGCACAACTGTCACCGTGCTAGCCCGACTATCGGTATCGTAGATTAACCACCATGACCCCAACCGCCTGACATTTATTGATAATTCCATTAATTGTTCAGTGGGTGGACCATTAAGTACGTGGATGAAAACCACATAGTGAGTAGACGTGTTCCACTAGACATGTAGACAATAACCGCTTAGCGGTTACATGGCACCAAGCATCTATAAATATTCCAAAGGCATGCTAGGTAGAGTCGAACCGGCTCACGAGCCGAAATGAGAGGCTCGGGCTCAGCTCGAGTAAAATGGTTTGAACTTTTTTGTGAACCCTAATCGAGCCGAGCAAAAGCTCGGCCAAGAAATCAAAGCTCAAGCCTTATCGAATCGAGCCGGACAGGCTCGAGTTTATTTATTTATTTATATTTTAAATAAAGGCAGGAGGGTGCTGCCTTAAATTTCAAGAAGGCAGCAGGTTGTTGCCTTTAAATTGTAGTTTTGTTTGTTTGTTTGTTTATTATTATTATTTTTTGAATATAGGCTCATGAGCTCGAGCTGGCGAGCCATGTAGGTTGGCTCGAGCTCTATGCCCGGCAACCCAAAATGGGGCTTGGCTCTGGATTCTTTCGGGCCCGAGCCGACGAGTCCGATTGTCATCTCTAGCCATGTATGAGGATCTTTCTTTTCACAATATGTTTCTGGCTTTCTCTCGTTTTCTGTGAGTTATTTTTTATCAAACTCAATCACGAATTCTCATGTCAAAGGTTGCCCAGCCTCTTCCTGCATGTGTCTCATTGTATTTATTGGAGTGGCAAAGGCCGCCTTGATCCACTATGGAAATTGGAAGGTTGTCTCGTTGTTATTTCATTGTCCCCATCCGCGGGAAATTATTCATTGGAGTAGCAATGTCGAAAAGGAATTATTCATCCTTGGGAAATTATTCATTGGAGTAGCAAAGACCGCCTTGATCCACTAAAGTAGTCGGAAGATTGTCTCGTTATTATTTCATTGGCCCCATCCATGGGAAATTATTCATTAGAGTAGCCAAGTCGAAAATTTATTATTCATTCATGGGAAATAATTCATTGGAGTAGTAAAGGTCGCCTTGATCCATTAAGAAAGTTGGAAGGTTGTCTCACTATTATTTCATGGCCCCATCTGTGGGAAATTATTCATTGGAGTAGCAATGTTGAAAAGGCATTATTCATCTATGGGAAATTATTCATTGGAGTAGCGAAGGCTGCCTTGATCTACTAAGAAAGTTGTCTCGTTATTATTTCATTGGCCCCATTTGTGGAAATTTTTTGAACATGAGCCATGTCGAAAAGGCAAACTAGGAGTGACATGTTTGGTTGGAAACATGATGGAGTCGAAGGCAAGGCAGCCTTTGCTACTCCAATGAATAATTTCCCACATATGAATAATGCCTTTTCAACATTGCTACTCCAATGAATAATTTCCCACAGATGGGGCCATGAAATAATAGTGAGACGATCTTCCAACTTTATTAATGGATCAAGGAGACCTTTACTACTCCAAGATGGAGTCGAAGTCTATTGCCCAAGGTCAACACCTACCATCACATCCTCAATATGTAAAACATAGTCAGTTTAGCATCCTGGAGACTCAGTTGGTCGCCATGATGACTCTTTTGCAAAATCGGACTCAAGGAGTGGTCGGTCCATCTTTATTCCACCACAAAATGTAGTGAAACCATCTCAAGTGACGCAAACGGTTGCACCCTCAGTTACTCAACTAACAATTGCATACCAAGAGTCCCATGAAGTCATAATTCACTGTCCTATGATAAACTTGGAGTCTGAGATGGAAGAAATGATGGTCCAAAAGATAGAGGATGCATTGTTAAGGAGAAAAGATAGGCGCAAGCAGATGGTCTTGGAAGAAGACTTATTCGCACTGAAAATCATTGAAGTCCCTATACCAAAAAGCTTCCAACAGTCGATGAGAGAAATGTATGACGAAGTCATGAATTCGCTCGATCCCTTGCAAACTTTCGTTGATTTGATGAGATTGTATGCAGCCCCATATACAATGACGTGTCGGTCCTTTTCACTGACGCTAAGGAGAGAGATTAGAGACTAGGTAGCTAGTCTAACACCTTGATCTATCATAACTTTTGATCATCTTTTTAGGAGCTTTGTGGCATATTTCTTGAGTGGCAGGAGAAAAAGGAAGACAGCCATTGGGATGTTGCAAGTTGTCCAGAAGATAGATGAGTCCTTATAGGAATATTTGGCTAGGTTTAGTCGGGCTACACTTGATATAAAGGACCTTCAAATATTTGCCGTGATAACTGCGTTAATGAATGGCACTAGAAATTGGGCATTTAAGATTTTGCTCTCAAAGAATCCTCTAAAGTCAATGCATGACTTGTTGAAAAAGGGAGGCAAATAAGTCCCTAATCAATCATAGACAGGTAAGAAATCTATTGGATTTGCCTGCTTAATTTAGTGTTCATTGTTGAAACGGATGCTTAGCCCCAACCGACCACAACCACGGTATAATAGATCGACCACTAGATATGTGGGTGAAAACCACCTAATGAGTGGATGTGTTACACTGGACGAGTGAATAATAACCGCTTAGTGGTTACATGGCACCAAGCATCTATAAATGCTCCAGAGGTGTGCCAGATATGAGGAATTTTTTTATTTTTTTTTCACAATATGTTTTTGGCTTTCTTTCATTTTTTCTCTAAGTAATTTTTTGTTAAACTCAATCACTAATTCTCATGTTGGATATAAAACGGGAGATAGCCACAACCTCTTCCTGTAGGGTATCATTATATTCATTGGAATTATCATTATAGTAAGGCCACCTTGATCTGCCAAGGAAGTCAGAATATTGTCTCGTTATTATTCACATTATGTGCATATTTCTCTACGAATACATTTTATTTATACTTGCTGACTATATTAGGGCATAATGTTTGTCCCATCTTCTATATTTTTATGTAACAGCATTAGGAATAGGTAAATTCCCAGGAATGCGGAAGTAGAATCATTTGAAAATTAAAAGAATTCTTTATTTCAAGAAACAAAATCGTCTAGAAGTTCACGTATATCTTACGTCAAGAATAAAATACTTGAATTTTTACCTAAATTCAATGATTAATTCTTGAACTTTATTTGAATCACGAACTTTTTAATTTTGGATCCTGGGTTCCAACTTTTAATTCTAAGAACTTGATTGCCCCAAACCACCAAGTCTTGTATGGTATTCTCTAACATCAATGCTACACCGGTGGTGTTTAAATTCTTTTAATTAAATCAAGAAACTAATTCTCAATTAAAATCTTAATTAAAATCTAAATATGAATTTCAATCAAAGTTTCAATCTAATTAATTTATATTTAATTACATATGTAATCTAGAACTTCAATTACAATTACATTTAAGTTTACAATTTCATAGTAATTACAATTAAGTACAAAATATTATGATAATACAATTAAACCCAAAACTTTTATAAGGATTGCAATTAAGTTTTAATATTTTGTAAAGAGACCATGGGAACCTGGCCGAATATATATTATCCAAACTCCAATAATTAGATCATATCTAGTCAACTCTAGACCACTCAATCTAATTTAATCTTTACTTTTTCCATTAAAAGTAAAAAAAACTGCACTTCAAATAAGGTCATAGAAACAAATAAATAAGTAGTATTTTCCTCAGACCTACGTATATGTAATTTATTCTCGTCTGAGATTCGATAATTGGATAAGAGCATAAATAATCGTTTGCCCTTCTAATTATTTTCATTAAATTTAGTACCACAGATATCAAAGTTTATATATCACTTAACATTAAGCTCAGATTTTAA